GTTTTTATTTATCTACATAATATAAAGCGTCCTTGGAAATACTTCGTTTACGTAAAAATGTAAGACCAAAAACCGGTGATTGCAGACCCCACTGAGGATAACCTAGACTGAAAGTGAACTATTCTAACACTAACAGATACCTTTACCCTCACTGAGCTGTAGTATATAAGCACTCAAGTAACACAACAACATCACAGCAGATACCAAGATGGAGAACAGCGCATCTCTCTCTCATACATCACATCAACATCAATTAGCTAACAGACTCGAGAGCTCGCACAACACACATTTGGCTGTGAGCTGCAGCGCTGATAGTCCATACATCACACATAATAATCATACTTACAGCACCACAAGCAAACACAGACAAAATAACAAACTAAACATAATACAGGTTGAAATAATTAAAATTCAATGATAAACATAGAGAGAGAAATAAAACAAAAAATACTTATAACTTTAAACTACACAATTGCAATATTGATGATACTATATAATAAAAAACTAGCTATGATATTATTGATGCCATGCATCACAAATAAAATCGTATGTTTGTCTAATCACATGGCTGGCTCTTGGCTCTGCAGCCCACTGTGTTTGTCACGGTGAGACCTGATGAGATAAGCACGAACATGTTATGCATGGGGTTTTTCTCTGTCCCCCCTATATATAGTACATGTCAATGATTTAGCTTAGTATTTTGTGTTGACGGAGAAACGTTTTGCCTGTTCTATCTGACGGAGGGGTGGTTTTAGAATTATAGTTGATTTTGCTGTTAATGTACAGCACCCATCAAAGATCTTTAGGGGATGCGAGTAAGTATTTATATTTCTCACGGAGTTGCAAAATGCGTAATCATAATGTTGACTAATGTACATAATTATCATTTTGATCAGTCCTGACATATGATGCATGATATATGCTTTAGTGAAATTATAGTGGACTATTCATAATATGATGTCACTTAATTTACATTCATTTATTAATACATTCACATTAAATTTATACATGTGAACTTGTGTAGACGCCTTTTGTCCGAAAGCGAACTTAGCCATACTCAATACTGTGGCCAATCCCCACAGGAGGCAATGAGTGAAGTGTCATAGAGCGGACACAATTGAGCATGCTGACTGCAGTGGGGTAGAACCTGTCACCCCCTGATCCATAACACCAACGCGACACCACACGCCTCAATAATAAATTTAAACAAGGGGGTTTAAGTAAGTAAGAACATGCAATAATCCACACATGTAGGCAAAGATATGCATGCAAAGGATTTCAGTGGACAGCTCTATTTGACAGCTGCATTTTAGTATTTCAATGGGTTATTGGCTTTCAAGTCTCTCCCATGTATACATAAGTAGACAGGATCTTCTCCCCTCTAACCTAACATAAACCTGCTTTAGCAAGAGTGCAAGATAAAAGGCAATCAGTTTCATCTACTTGCTCCTGTCAATTAGGTCTAACAATTTGTAACCTTATGGTGTGAGGGTTTAACTGTTCAGTGCGGTCCAACACAGCAGCACGGTGGGACATGATAAAAATAGCAAAATTCTGTTTGATATATTCACAACATAAACAAACATATTATCATCAAATGCATAGAAAACATGTCAGCAAATCTGACCAGAGTCTATACCGACTCTTTTAGAATCAATGAGCATTCATAGACACCATGCATAGTAACTTTCCAAAACAGACCAGCAATGTGGATATAGTATCCATGTCCATGTCATTTTGTTAGACGCATTTTACCCCAAGAGACCTTTCATACATTCAGTACTGTGGGCAAACCCCACAGCAGCAATTTGGGGTGAATTGTCTTGCCCAGGGACACAACGACATGCTGACTGCAGTGGGACTCGAACGTGCTATCCCCTGATTTGAAGTCCAGCACACTAACCACTGAGCCACAGCCGCCTGATATAGTATGAGATTTTGTTAAGGACTGGGTGCTCTCGTTTTTAACTACAGTAATAAGATTAGTAGTCTAATCCAACTAGACTCTGGAATAGCCCTACACTCCCCCCAGAGCCACAGGCAGGAGGAACCTGTTGATGGAGATAATTACAGAGCACACAGCTACCTTTCAATGCATTCTTGAGGTTAATTAATTCACATGCTTGATCTGTCATCCTTCTGGGATAGATGACTTTCTACAAAGAAGCGCACAGGATCCTTTGAGTGTCTTGGATTGCCCCACCCTAGCCCACAGGGATAATCTGAGACGAATCACATCAAGTGAGGCCAAGGGATTGACTTTCCACAGTGCGGAAAGGAGAAGACAACGTCAGCACTGTGGAGATTGATGTCAGAAAGGTTGGAAACTGCAGCTGTGAACCATTTGTGTTTGTGGATGGTGGTTGCAAGCATCTCGTCTCACTTACTACAGGTAAATATCTCTTCTTTTTTTATCAAATGAAATGTTTTTTGTTGTATTTTGTTATATTTATTGTTACTTCAGACTTTCACTTTTTACTTAAATTAAAAGCTGATTATTTTGCACATTGGTCTTGAAGAAATGAAATAAAGGTTGTAGTGTGATGAGCTACTAAAACTAGCAGCTAAGAATAGCAGCTTGCCGATTCTTTATATGGCTGCTTTACATTTGACTTAATACTTGACTGAATATGATTTGAAATGTTGATCTTTGATATAATGTCTAATCTAATTTGGACTAATCTAACTTCTCTTGACGTGTATAAAAACATAATGATGACTTAGGTTTATAAAGTCCAAAAATAAAACAATCCTGAGCTCTGGTAACTTATGAGATGCCTTATCCATCCTGTTATGAAACTGCTAATAGGATGGTTTTTCAGGCTTACGAGAAGGCTCTAAGCACATTTTGTGCACATGTTTACAGATGCACATGATAAAGTGTGTAATATAGCATAACTAGATATATGTGCTTCCAGGCTCTGCTATGACTGTGGATGTGAGTCTGTGTGACTGTACATATGGCATCCCATGTAAAGACAACAGGTGGAGCTCTGATGGAATACAGTAAGTAAAACGGGTAGTTGGCCGTCAATAAAATAACGTATCTGTCAATGACTATATAAAAATGGATTTCAAAAGTGCCTGTGGCTATTTATATTGTGATGCCTGGATGAGAGACTACTACTTTTATTGTAATGCCCAGATAACAGACTTGCAAAGCCAAACAAGGATTAGACACCTCTACTGGAGTTAATTATTTAGATGCTACAGACCAACCAATTTGGTGAAGTGCTGTTGAATAATGTGGAAGCTGTAAGAGGATTAAAATAGTATTTAATTCAGCCGAGAAAACACTTAACTAAAGCTTCCAGTTTAACTTTGAAAGTAAATTAAAAACAATAAACAGCTAACTTATAGTTATAATACTTACAATTTTGGATTCAAGTTGTGTGTAATAACAGATGTCTCTTTTTTGTCTCTTCCAGTCAGAGCCCCCAGGGCAAAGTACACGATTGTAGGGGAAGCTATACGTTATGTCGTCCCTGGACATATGCAATGTTCAATAGGCTGTGGAGGTCCAGCCTGCAAATATGACAACCCAAATTACTGGAGTGATAACCAACAGGCCATAACAGGCCTCTACTCATCATGGTAAACATGTTTCTCTTTAGTAGTAGTCATAGTACAACATAATTTAACAGCTTTTGAAATGATATTTTTCCATGTTAATATAACCTTTTTCTATTGCTTTAGGATCACTGATCATCTTTTGGCAATGTCCAGACCCTCAACAGAAATCATTAAGAAGTATCGCATCATCGATCAATTCAGAAGGTATAGACAATTTTGTTTTCAGCGGCTTCCTGACTACGAACACACAGCACCTGAGGAGACGATAATAATGAATTTTTCATGTCTCTGTTTGTGTGTGTGTGTGTCTGTGTCAAGGGATGGTATTAAAACAGTGATCAACCTACAGATATCTGGTGAACACGCCAGCTGCGGAAACCCTCTGGAGCCAGAGAGCGGCTTCTCATACCGCCCAGAGGTCTTCATGGAAAACAACAGTAATTGCTCGATACAATAAATCTTGGTTTATCTGTATTGTTGCTCAGATTTAACTGCCAACATCTCACCGTTTCAGTTTATTTCTACAATTTCGGCTGGAGTGACTATGGAGTGGCCAACCTGACAACGATGCTCGATATAGTGAAGGTCATGGCCTTCGCCATGCAGGAGGGAAAGATAGCAATCCACTGTCACGCTGGCCTCGGCAGAACAGGTATATATTCAAGGAATGCTTTAGGAAGTGTTAAGGACCGTTATTCCTCTGAAATACAACAAAGGGTTTCCTCTTTCTTCCCTGCAGGTGTGCTGATAGCATGTTTCTTGGCCTATGCTACCAGGATGACTGCTAACCAGGCTATTCTGTTTGTTCGTGCTAAACGCCCCAACTCCATCCAGACCCGAGGCCAGTTAGGATGTGTCAGAGACTTTGTCCAGTTCCTTGCCCCTTTGAGGAGTGTGTTTTCCTGTGCTGAGCCCCGATTCAACCCAGTCACCCTGTCCCAGTACCTGAACCGCCAGAGACACATATTGCATGGCCATGAGAGGAAGGAACTGAGGCACCTGCCAAAGATCATCCGGCTAGTGTCTAGGCTGCTGTTGGACATCGCAGAGAATCGACAAGTGATAGAGGAAGACATTCTGGTGGCCCCTGATATTGAAGACATAGAGATGACTCTGAGCGTCATTGAGAAGATGGGCCCAGAGTATTTTTTAAAGGAGCCCCGCTTACCAGGTGCGCCCACATTACCAAGGCATTTTCATGAACCACCCATTTTCTACCATCGCAAAAGTCTGAGCTACAGTGAGTCTGACTTGACACGACTCGGCACACAGTTACACCTTCTCACACAACCTTTAGGTCCCATGCCACTGAGCAATGTTGAAATGACTTTTTCTCCACCGGACCAGGCAATCCATATTAAAGGTTGTAAAAGCAACATGTCTGACTTTTCACACGGCTCAACAGGCTCACTCTGGCAAATCAAGAATTCAGAAAACCAAAAAGATGGATCCCGTCTACTGCAGAAAGCCCAGCAGAGCACCATCCAGCGTACTGGGTCTGTGGGAAACAATGAATTTACCAAAAAAGCTAGCTTTTTATCCAGGTGGAAGGATGAGCAGAGGGACGGAGTAGTAATGAATGGGAAGAAGCCTGAAGATAAGAGAGACGAGGAGGTATCAGAGGTGCCCTTCATCACCCTGCAGTCGGAGCTGTCCCCGGAGGCCCGGAGGCTTCTAATGGCTCAGGCCCTGGCAGTGGACTTTTGTCTTGATGGTGGAGAAGAGCATAAGAGCAGCATCCTCGCTTGGCAGGTAACTGACAACTTGGTAGTAGTATTTTTAGAAGTGGAGGGCATGCATTTCAAAATTACGTAAATGCTACACTTCGTCCATCAAGGCTGATGTTATACTTTAATGTAAATTCAGTCAGACAACTCACGTGTTTCTTTAACATGTTTATTAGAAGCAGCATAGTTGAGTTTGGCGACTAGGCTCGGGCATCATCACTCCATAGATATACATAGCACGATGAGTGATGATTAAATAACTAACCCCCGAGCCTACAGGTGGAAGCTGGGGTGGTGGTGGGACAGGTAAGCAGCAGCGACGTAGAGGTAGCAGCAGCAATAGCAGCAGCAAGCAATGCATAGAGAGAGATCTGCCAGGTTAAATAGAGCGGCATATTAAGGAGGGCTCTGTTTGGTTGGTTGTAGAGTGGCAAGGGGCGTTATCTATGAATGCAGCATAAGTGCTCGAGTTGACTGCCTGAACTAGTTCGCAGGCTTCGCCCCATTTCTGTCAGCGGTTCATGGCAGACTACAATTCACAACCGCAACAAAGGCCTTATTGCATGCACTCTAGTGTAAACGATTTTACATTTTCAGTGACATAAATCATATTTTGAGTTTACATTTTGATAACACATTTTCATAATACAAGACAAATCTCAGATGCAAACTAAATGATGCTCTAACTTTGATCGCTCTTGAGATGACATTAAAAAAGACCACGCCCACAGACATGCTATCTTTCTAAAAAGTTGCCTCATTCACATAAAGGCAGACAGGGTCTAATACGAGTGCCTGAATGTGTGCAGGCAGAATTGAACCTGGGCGGTGGCTGGGAGAGGCTGTGCATGGAGCGGGACCCCTTCATCCTCACTGGGCTCATGTGGGCCTGGCTGGAGCAGCTCAGAGAGCCGGTCATCTCCATCCAGGAGGCCAAAGCCCTGGACCCCAACAACACTGACGCTCAAACTGTCCTCAACACACTGGACAAGGTCAGTGCTGATTCGTATTTGAAAACTAATTCCGTGGACTATGCAGCCTTCAAATTTACATTTTAATTATTCTTTGTTTATCTCTTCCCAGGCCTGTTTACAAACATTAACTTGCATACTAGATTGTATGGCTCATATGCAGCAGATACCAGAAGACGTTGAAAATGCTTTCCTGAATCGTACAATCAAGGCTTTCACCTGGGTAAGATAGTCCATACACCTAACTATTTGGGATTTATTTCAGCAAATGTATTACTTTCTTGTCATTAGTTTTGTTTTAACAACTTGAGTTTATTTGCCTTTGAACAGATGAGAAATATCTCAGAAGATGATAGCAAAGTGTACGAGTCCATGACTGCAGTCCTAAGATGTGTCCTTGAGGACATGAGGAGAATCGCCAAAGAACAGGAAGAGATGCAAGCAATGAGGCCAACGTTTTCCTACACTTAAACATATTTACTACCAGTCATGCTGCACTGCCTGGACTTCCATGTGGACGCATTAAGGAGGAAAGGATGCTTTTGTGCCTTAAGGATTAAATGTGTAATAATAGTAATAATAATAACAGCTCTTTAAATATATTTTTTTGTTTTTATTTTCTTTGGTCTTAGCATGAATGTACAGTAAATGGATTATTGTCATTAATGCAGTACACAATTCAGTATTTTCTTACCTCAGTAGTGAGTGGAGCTAACATATTGAAGAACAGGTGAATATATTTTGCACACATCATGCCTTAAGACCTGGTCATATCTAACAGATCCAAAAGCATAGTGGAAAACATTATCAATATACCTTTACCAATGCCTTTCCCATAACATGGTGGGTGTTTCTAATCTTTAATAAGTGTTATATTCTGGTGTCTCTGAACATACACTAACCAAAGAACATCCAAATGTCTGCATATATAAAAAACAATAATAAAAGCAAATGTAACTCTTCCCAGTATCTTGTGCAAACTGCTTGTAGGCAACTTTATGTGAAGCAATGTCGCTCAAGAGGTGAAAGAATATGCTTTCAAGACGTCTTTTCCGTCTTTCCCTTCTGCTGAGGCCGTGATGCTGGAGTAGTCGCAGGCGACATGCGTGAACCCTCTGGACAACAGCGCACAAAGCATAAAAGAAAGCAACAGGTTTAGGAAATGACTAATTAGGCAACATGCAGATACTCAGAAAATACTTATATTCAGGCTCTTCCGTTATTAGTAAATTGGTTGTTTTTGATGCAGCACATAGGATAATGTACCTGGACATTGTGTGAGAGCCTCCCAGTAAATGGTATTGGCTCTCTAGGGTCAACCCATGGTCTCTGTCCTTTCCCCATGTCAACACCCGTAAGGAAAGATCCTGAGATGCTGTCACCACACGAAAGCTATCCTGTAAATATAAAGACACTTTTAGTAGGCTCTTTCACACATATAGTACATTATACTGTATAAAACAAAACAAACATCAACAAGTGAAGGAATATTTATTTTGATTCCAAATGAAAGAAACCTACCACGCTTATAGAAGAGATAGACATGGTATGCTCTTTAAAGTTAGCAATCAGGGCTCCTTTCAGAGAGTAGACATATAGCCCCTGCCCGGCTGCCAACACTAAGCAGTTGCTGTCAGCGGCCTCCAGAAGGACCTTTGAGTGCCGGCTGTTCAGTGTCAAAGGGAAGGACTCCACCTGCTGGACTAAGATGAGAAGACGCTCAAAATTATACCAGCGCAAGCCAACAACATTTAGGAAAAATCCATCTAAATACCTGTGACTGCAGATTTCAGGGATTTATTCTGAGATATTTTGTTGTCATGTACATTTTGGGGTACACACTTTCATTCAGTTTTACTGTTTAAATTCATATTTACCTACTTTAAAAAAAAAAATGTATATAACTTATTCTACTATTTCAAAACAATATTAGACAGTTTACACATCCAGATAACAAACACAAATTAGTGAAAGCGTGAGGGAGGAAAGCAAGGCTTATACAGAAGTAGCCCTCCTGTTAGTCATCCTGATTGCAGGATAAAGTAAAAAAAAGATAATTCCGTATAACAATAATTCCACTTTCTATATGTTTTGAATCGTTTTCATAAACAGAAATAAGAAAGATACACAATGACAAATGGACCCAATCTGGCAGATTCTACACCAGCTGCTTAACAATATCTGCAGAAAGTAGAGATAGATCTAATTCGAATAATTCAAAGGCTCACGACAACTTTTTAAAGGCTAAATTAAGATTCTGCATCCAATTGAAAGCATCTGAAAGTCAATCTGCAAATATCTTAATCCTCACCCTGGATCTCGGACTTGTACTTGGTCTTTTTAATGCTGACATCGAACACAGTGAGGACTTGGTTGTTATGGAGCCCGTTGTGGTGGATGAGGGCCAGTCTCGCAGGCTGAGTGGGGATGAAGACAGCGGCCTGGCACCCTGTGACTGGCAAAGACTGGCACAGAGGATCTTCGTCCTCAGACGGTGAGGTCAAACTCTCTGTGTAAATCACCTGCCAACAAAGCAAACACCAAAAACCTACAAAATGTGTATGTAATCGTTCATTGATCTTATATATAAACACCTATTTCCCGCTGTGTCATTCGAGCTGAGGTAATGTGGTAAAAAACAAACACATGATTGCAGAACAGAGCAGGAAACACCCACATAAAGTCAGACTGTCAAACACAACAAGAAATACCTTTGGACTTAAATCATCCTTGTCCTTGGTTCCAGCAGTGATCCATTTCTTGTCACGTGAAACTAGGAGAGTGTTGACTTTGAAAGAGTCACACACCATCACACTGGACTTTTTAGTCAAAGCTGAATCTGCTAGTGTACACACAGATCCCTGGCTGGTTCCAACCTGGAAGGGAATATATAACGATTTACTAGAAACAACATACTACATCATTTATAGATTTACAAACCCAAAAAAATCTGAATTTACTCACAGTCAGAAACCAGTTGTTGTTGATGTTATACTGTAGTAATGAACCGAGTGGAGAGCCAGTAGCAAAAGAGGCCCCCTCCTGGCCGCTTTCACCCTGCCAGGTCTTGATGAGGCCTGTGGAGTCTGCTGTGATCACAACTTCACGCCGTTCATCACCAATAATCGCTGTCAAAGGACTCTGAACGGGACTGCACCACAGGAGCTCACCCTGAGGGAAGAAAGCTCAGTCTCAGGCCTCTGTGAGGGAATATATTCCAGTGGCTGTAGACTTTTTTAACCAAGAAGAGGGAGCTAATTTAGAAAATCTGTTTCAGTGGGATTAGGTGAAATGTAGCCTGCATACGTGTTTTGCCGTAGCACATGACTTTAGTACATTTCAATTAAAGTTTTGTGTAGATAAATATCTGAAAGCAGCATGATGCCCGTATTCAAACAATGTCACCACCAGACACTGATAAGGACTCTCAGCATGTGACACTTGAGTTTAACATGTTTTCTGAAGCATTATCTGATAAGTCAAACCAAATCAATTTAGGACAGAAAGGTACTCATGGAATAATACAGAAATCTGGAATACATTTCTTTAAATGCTGTGCCTCATAACAAGCATTTGTACAAATACTATACAATATTGTAAAAGTCAACAAATGCTCTACATTATTATGCTAAGAAAGCAGCATGATGCCTGCATTCAAATAATGTCACCAGACACTGATAAGGACTCTCAGCATGTGACACTTGAGTTTAACATGTTTTCTGAGGCATTATCTGTAAAGTCAAACAATCAATTTAGGACAGAAAGGTACTCATAGAATTATACAGAAATCTGGATTAAACGTCTTTAAATGATGTGCCTCATAACAAGCACTTGTACAAATACTTTACAATATTGTAAAAGTGTACAAATGATCTATATTATTATACTGAGAAAGCAGCATGATACCTGCATTCAAACAATGTCACCAGACACTGATAAGGATTCACAGCATGTGACACCAGACACTGAGTTTGACATGTTGTTGAGGCATTATCTGTAAAGTCAAACAATCAATTTATGACAGAAATGTACTTTGTAAGTTTGGTTTCATCTTCTTTAAATGCTGTGCCTACAAACAAGCATTTCTACAGATACAATATCATACTAATTGTACAAATACTTAACAATATTATACTGGGAATACAGGGTGAGGTGTCACTAACATTTTGGATGTCCCACGCTCGGACTGTACCATCAGTGGAGGCGCTGCACACTGTGGCACGGCTGTTCCAGAGGTCAGGACTCTGGGCTGAGTTCCCCTGCAGGTACACCAGCCCTACCACTCTGCCTGATGGACAGCATGTCAGGTGTAAACATTTAATGAGAGACTACATGAAGACATGCAAAGAAGATCTCACAGAGAGACAGCATACCTGCGTGTCCTCTGAGGCTTTTGCAGGTGTAACCTCCTGACCTGCCTGTCGTCATCTTCATCTCTAAGTGGCAGCGTTGCAGGAAGTATCTCTTCCATGAGTGATTTACGTGTTCACTCCCCAGGACAGCGAGGTTACAGAAACTCCAGCGCCGCAAACACATCTTCCTGAGGGGACAACAGGATTGGACATTCAGATATGTTCACAGATCACAGGAGCATCATCTGCTTGACGTTGGAAAATACAGAAACAAAAGTACAGACAGGCATGCAAGGCAAGTTTATTTATATAGCACCACAAGGCAATTCGAAGTGCTTTACAAAAATGAGGAGCATTAGGAAATAACATGATAAAATGGAATTAAAACATTCAAATCATTAACAAGCAAGACAACTCACGTCCACAACCAAGGTGTCTCTGCAGCTTCATTCCAATCCTAAAAAATGTGTTAAATGTTATCAAACACAAATCAGACTTTTGGGGAATAATAATAGACTGGCTTCATGGCACACGAGCTACTTCCGCAAGTTAGACACTCCTTACCTGACACACACTGGAAGCAGTGATTAAATCATCCTCAGTCAGGAATGTAAAAATATGAATAAGGCAATCCCGGATCAATGGCGGCGGATGGAGATCCATACTGATGTTATTAAATTTTCCAGCACCAGCTATCTCCCTTCTGTACGTCAACAACACGCAAACACTTGGCAAACTACGGAAACTAAACAGGGACAATAAGGGTTGTGTTTTTCAGAACACAGCGTGAAAGGTCTTCACTGCGCCACAAGATGTCGCTATTATAAAAGGTAGATGATCCAAAGGAAAGTCCATGGAAGAGAGACGCACTAAGGGGAAGTGCGCAGCAGATGATTTATAAAACTAAATGAAGTGGATAAATTATTCTTATAGTAGCCTATTAACAAAAAATCAAAAACATTATTAGACTATAATCAAGTAAACAAATGCGTATTAGATAGGATCAATGTTTGATTCAACCTTATGGAAACAGAGGGAAGGGAGTATAATTTGTCTAGGTTACAATGCATCTACTTTTTTTTTTAAGTCAGTGCATTTTGTATTTGTTTTAAGACTGTTTATCTGCAGCTTGTGTGGAAACATATCGTTAATTTTGGTGTTAAACTGCGTAAAAGTAAGCTTATGTCCACTTTACTTTAGGCCCTGACCCACTCACTAACCAAAAAAAGCCAATCAGGTGAATTCACAGCATAAGGTGCATGTGCGCGCACGCGTACTTGTATACAGATTGCGTGTGCACGCTAGTGCGTGTGTTGAGATTCAGCCCTGGCGGGATTCTTCAACATGCAGGGCCCCATGTCTCCTGAGAACACGCCCCAGATAGATGAGCCAGATATATAGCCAGGACCTGCGGGTAGTAGAGGAACTGTGAGAAAGAGATAATCGCACTTGCTCACCCCAAGGGTTACCTGTGACACCCTCGCAATGACAACAGGGCCCAGCCATAGCGGGCCACGTAAAGGGAGTTTGGATGATACCTTAACCGGACATTTGTAAACAGTTTTCCCGATCGTGTGCTATTTTTTGATGCTA